GGCACGTACGATATCCAAACTGTGAGGTAGGGGGGTGGGGGTTATGTGGTGTCTGGCTCCAGGGAGTACGAACCAAGAACTGTGAGGTAGGAGGGTAGTGGTTATTTTTGGGTGTGTCGAGCTCGAGGGTACGTACATAAAAAACTGTATGAGGAGGGGTAGGTGGTTTTTGGGTGGTCTGAGACCGCGGGGTTACGACATACCCAAACTGTATGTGGGAGGGGGGTGGTTATTGTTTGTGTGCGAGACTCGCAGGGCACGTACATCCCCAAACTGGAGTGTGGGAGGGTAGGTGGTTGTGGTGTTTGAACTCCCGGGGCACGTCAACCCAGAAGGGAGTGTAGGGGGTAGGGGTTATTGGTGGTGTCTGAGACCGAGGGCACGACGCCCCAGAACTGTGAGTTAGGGGGAGGGGGGTTTAAAAGTTGGTGTTGGACCGCGGCACTCGATCCCCAAATGGAGTGTGGGAAAATGTAGGTGGTTATTGTGTGTTTTCCTAAATCGCAGGGCAGTACGAACCCAACGGGAAGTGTAGGAGGGGGGTGGTTTTTTTTGTGTGTGTGTCTGAGACTCGCAGGGCACGTACTATCCAAAACTTGGTTAGGAGGGTAGGTGGTTCGTGTGTGTGTCAGACTCGCAGGGCACGTCGATCCAAAACGTAGTGTGGGGGAGGGTAGGTGGTTATTGTGGGGTTGTCTGAGACCCAGGGGTACGTCGATACCCAAAACGTGAGTGTGGGAGGGTAGGGGTTTTGTTTGGGCCTAAACCGCGGGCACTACGTCCCCCAGAATGTGGTGTAGGGGGTAGGGGGTTTTTTGTGGGGGTCTGAGATCGCAGGGCACGTACGATACCCAGAACTGTAGTGTAGGAGGGTGGGGGTTACTGTGGTGGCCTAAAGCTCGCGGGGGCACGTCGTACCCAGATCTGGGGTAGGGTGTAGGGGTTTTTGGTGTGTGTCTGAGACCGCAGGGCCGTACATACCCGAACGGAGTGTAGGAGGGTAGGTGGTTATTGTGTGTTGTCTGGACCGCAGGACCGACGTTTCCCAGAAGGGAGTGGGGGAGGGAGGTTATTGTGAGTGTCTGAAACTCGCAGGGCACGACAACCCCAGAACTGTGAGTGTAGGAGGGTAGTGGTTTTGGGTTGGGGTGTGAGACTCGCAGGGCCGTCGATACCCAGAACTGGAGGAAGGGGGGGTAGGGGTTATTGTGTGTGTGCAGACCGCGGGGCACGTACGATCCCAAGAACTGGAGTGTAGGGGGTAGGGGGTTTTTTTTTTTTGTGTGTTAAGATCGCAGGCACGTACGATACCCAAACTGAGGGGAAAAAGGGGTGGTGGTTACTGTGGTTGTCTGAAAATCGCAGGGCACGTACATACCCAACTGTGAGTGTAGGGGGGGTAGGGGGCATTGTGTGATGTCGGACCGCGGGGCAGTACATCCCCAGAACGGAGGTGGGAGGGTAGGTGGTTTTTGTGTGGTTCTGAGACTCGCGGGGCACGTACGAAACCCAGAACGTGAGGTTGGGGGTGGGTGGTATTTTGTGTGTGTCTGAACCGCAGGGCACGTACGATCCCCAGAACTGTGAGTGTAGGAGGGAGGGGTTATTGTGTGTTGTTGAGACTCGAAGGGCACGTACGTACCCAGAACGTGATTGGGAGGGTAGGTGGTTACTGTTTTGGTGTCTGGACTCGCAGGGCCGTACGATACCCCAAAACGTAGTGTAGGAGGGAGGTGGTTATTGTGTGTGTGTCGAGACTCGCGGGCACTCGATACCCAGAACGGATGTAGGAGGGTGGGTGGTTATTGTGTGGGTCGAGACTCGCAGGGCAGTAGTCCCCAAAACTGTGAGTGTAGGGGGGTGGGTGGTTATTTTTGGGGTGTCTGAGACTCGCGGGCACGTACGAATCCAGAACGTGGTGTAGGAGGGTAGGGGTTATTGTTTTTGGGGTCTGAACTCGCAGGGTACTACGAACCCAAACTGTGAGTGAGGAGGGTAGGGGTTATTTTTGTGGTCTGAGCCCGCGGGGCAGTACGATCCAAATGTGGTGTAGGAGGTAGGGGTTATTGTGTGTGTGCTGAGACTCGCAGGGCACGACGTCCCCAGAACGTGAGTGTGGGAGGGTAGGTGGTTATTGTGTTGTGTCTGAGATCGCAGGGCACTACGATCCCCCAAAAAGGAGTTAGGAGGGTAGGTGGTATTGTGTGTGTGCGAGACTCGCAGGGCCGTACATCCCGAAATGGGTGTAGGGGGGTAGGGGTTATTTGTGTGTGTCTGAACTCGCAGGGCACTACATCCCAGGTGATGAGGGGTAGGTGGTTTTGTGTGGTTCTGAGACCGCAGGGCACGTACGATATCCAGAATTTGGAGTGAGGAGGTAGGGGTTACGTGTGTGTGTTGAGACTCGCGGGCACGTACGATACCAAAATGTGAGTGGGGGGGGAGGGGGTTTTTTGTGGGGGTTGGTCTGAACTCGCAGGTCGTCGATACCCAAAAACTGTGAGTGTAGGAGGGTAGGTGGTTATTGTTTGTGTCGAGACTCGCAGGGAAACGTACGTACCCAAAACGTGAAGTGAAGGGGGGTAGGGGTTTATTTGGGGTGTGTCTGAGACTGCGGGGCACGTACGTACCCAAACTGTGAGTGTAGGAGGGTAGGTGTTATTGGTTGTGTCGAGACTCGCAGGGCACGTACGAAAACCAAACGTGAGTGTAGGGGTAGGTGGTTATTGTGTTGTGTTGAGTGAGGCACGTACAAACCCCAGACTGGAGTGTAGGAGGGTAGGGGTTATTGTGTGGGTCGAGACTCGGGGGGACCGATCCCCAGAACGTGAGTGGGGAGGGGTAGGTGGTTATTGTGTGAGTGTCTGAGACTCGCAGGGCACGTACGATACCCAGAACTGTGAGTGTAGGAGGGTAGGTGGTTATTGTGTGTGTGTCTGAGTCTCGCGGGGGCACGACAGTCCGAATGTGAGGTGGAGGGTGGGGTTATTGTGTGTGTGTCTGAGACTCGCAGGGCACGTACGATACCCAGAACTGTGAGTGTAGGAGGGTAGGTGGTTATTGTGTGTGTGTCTGAGACTCGCAGGGCACGTACGATACCCAGAACTGTGAGTGTAGGAGGGTAGGTGGTTATTGTGTGTGTGTCTGAGACTCGCAGGGCACGTACGATACCCAGAACTGTGAGTGTAGGAGGGTAGGTGGTTATTGTTGTGGTCTAGACTGCAGGGCCGTACGATCCCAGAACTGTGAGTGTAGGGGGGAAGGGGTTTTGTGTGGTGCGAGACCGCAGGGCACGACGAAAACCCAGAACTGTGATGTAGGGGGGTGGGGTTTTTGTGGGGTTGTTAGACCGGGGGCCGACGAATCCAAACTGTGATGTGGGAGGGTAGGGGTCATTGTGTGTGTTCTGAGACTCGCAGGGCACTACGATCCCCGAACTGTAGTGGGGGGGTGGTGGTTATGTGTGTAGTCTGAGACCGCAGGGCACGTACATCCCCAAAACTGTGAGGTGGAGGTAGGTGTTATTTTTTTTGTTTCTGAGACTCGCGGGGACGTACAAACCCCAAAACTGTGAGTGTGGAGGGTAGGTGGTATCGTGGTGTGTCGAACTCGAGGGCAGTACGATCCCCAGAAAGTATGTAGGAGGGAGGTGTTTTTGTGAGTGTCTGAGACTCCAGGGCAGTACGACCCCCAGAACTGTGGGTAGGAGGGTAGGTGGTTATTGTGTGAGGTCTAATCGCAGGGCCTTTCGAACCCAAATGAGTGTAGGGGGGTAGGGGGGTTATTTTTGGGGGAGGTTGAGACTCGCAGGGGCACGTACGAACCCAAAACTGTGAGTGTGGGGGGTGGGTGGTTTTTGGGTGTGTCTGAAACTGCAGGGCACGTACGATACCCAAAAACTGTGAGTGTGGAGGGTAGGGGTTGTTTGAGTAGGTGGAACAATTTCGCAACCCAACCCCTGGTACCCCCACTACAACTAATACTAAATACTATACTTTATACAACCCCCTTTTTAGTAACTCAAATCACTATACACTACTCTAGACTACTGCAGTATAAACTATTATATACTATAGAGTACACTGCTACTACTACACACCACCACACCACACACACACACAAAAGCACACACCACACACCCACAAAACACACAAACACACACACACACCCAAAACACACACACATACCACACCACACACACTCACACACACAACAAACACACCACTCACCAACCACAAACACACACCCAAAACACACACAAACCCCACAACACACAAACCCACAACACACACCACAAACACAAAAACACACACAAACACACTACACACCACACCACACACCATTTTGGAACCCACCTAGCCAAGCACGTGAAAAAACTAAGAAAGTAAAAGGGTTTTTGCAAAAAGACTACCCCAAAGGAAAAGGGTATGTCCACGGGGAAGGTTAAGGGAAAACGACGACACTGGGGGACGGAAGATAGGGGGACAGAACGACAACAAAAACGGGGGAAATTTTGACAAGGGGACAAAGACAGGATTTTTCCAAGTTGGGCCAGAAAGGGGGGCCAGTTGGGTGGACACAGTAATCACGGGGATTTTGGAAGTATTTTTCACCACAGAGTAGTCAGTAAGGGGAATATTTGGGAAAGCGATTTTGGAGGCAGGCCCATACAATTTTAAGCAGGGGTATGAAAAGCCCCGGCTCGGAGAGTGACCCTAGTAGCGATCAGTGAAGAGGCGGGGCCAGGAGCTCGGACTCGACCCCCGCAACCTCCAATAGGTGAGTACTCAGCTAGGTGAGTCACAACACACACACACACCCACACACAACACACATACACACACAACACACACATACACACCCCTACACAACACAAAATACACACAAAAACCCACACACACACACACACACACACACACCACACACACACACACACACACACACACACACACACACACACACACATACACACACACACACACATACACACTAGTACCCACCTGCGCTCCGACCATGCCCTGACGGAGCCTGGGCAGGTCTGTGTGCGACCATGAGGACCTGGACCACGGTCTCAGCTTGTGAAGTTGGGCAGTGAAATTAAAACTGTGAAGTTTATTGTGCATGAACTTCCTGATGTTCCAGGGCAGGTCGTTGTGCCTGAGAGAACACGCGGGGAACAAAGTTACAACACCTGCTGAACACGACGCCGACACGTTGTGAACGTGTAGTGAACATGTCGGGTTAGATATTCAGTGCGAGAATGGAGAGAGAGAGAGAGAACGATTAAGCATATATCCTGTTACTGATTATATGTGAACATCCCTCATATCATATGTGGTGTCCCTCTGATATCATGTGGTATCCCTTTGATATGTGGTATCCCTCCCATATATGGTTTCCCTCTGGTATCATGGGTATCCGTATGATATCATAGGGTATCCCTATGATATTATATGGTATCCCTCTGATATCATGTGGTATCCCTCTGATATCAGGTGGTATCCCTCTGATATCTTATGGTATCCCTCCGATATCGTGTGGTACACCTCTGATATCATATGGTATCCCTCTGATATGTGGTATATCTCTGATATCATGTGGTATCCACGAGACTCGGCTCCTGGCTCCGCCTCTTCACTGATCGCTGCTAGGTCCTCTCTCTGCTTCCTGAGCTTTGTTATACCTCATCTTAAAGCTATGTGTGGTTCCTGCCTCCATTACATCACTTGCTAGACTATTCCACTTCCTGACAACTCTATGACTGAAGAAATACTTCCTGCCATCCCTGTGACTCGTCTGAGTCTTCAGCTTCCAACTGTGGCCCCTTGCTTTTCTGTGTCCCTTCTCTGAAATATCCTGTCTCTGTTCACCTTATCTATTCCATGCAGTATTTTGCATGTCGTTTTCATGTCTCTCCTGACCCTCTTCGTAGGACATTCCCATGAGCTCTGGAACTAGCCTTGTTGCAAACCTTTGTACTTTCTCTAATTTCTTGACGTGCTTGACCAGGTGTGGTTTCCAAACTGGTGCTGCATACTCCAGTATGGGCCTGACGTACACAATATACAGTGTCTTGAACGATTCCTTACTAAGGTATCGGAACGCTATTCTCAGGTTTGCCAGGCGCCCATATGCTGCAACAGTTATCTGGTTAATGTGTGCTTCCGGAGACATGCTCGGTGTTATACTCACCCCAAGATCTTTCTCCTTGAGTGAGGTTTGCAGTCTTTGGCCACGTAGCCTATACTCTGTCTGTGGTCTTTTTTGCCCTTCCCCAATCTTCAAGGCTTTGCATTTGGCGGGGTTGAATTCAAGAAGCCAGTTGCTAGACCATGTGTGCAGCCTGTCTAGGTCTATTTGTAGTTCTGCCTGATCCTCGTCTGATTTAATTCTCCTCATTAACTTCACATCATCTGAGAACAGGGACACTTCAGAGTGTATCCCTTCCATCATGTCATTCACATATACCAGGAATAGCACTGGTTCTAGAACTGACCCCTGTGGGACCCCACTCGTCACTGGCGCCCATTGTGATACCTCATCACGGACCATGACTCGTTGTTGCCACCCTGTCAGGTATTCTCTGATCCATTGCAGTGCCCTTACTGTTATACGTGCCTGATCCTCCATCTTCTGCACTAATCTCTTGTAAGGAACTGTGTCGAAGGCCTTACTGCAGTCCTGTGTGTGTGTGTACTCACCTAATTGTACTCACCTAAATGTGGTTGCAGGGGTCGATACTCAGCTCCTGGCCCCGCCTCGCTTCTGTGTCCCCTTCCTGGAGCATCCTGTCTCTGTCCACCTTATCTATTCCACGCAGTATTTTGTATGTCGTTATCATGTCTCCCCTGACCCTCCTCTCCTCCACTTTGGGTCGCCCGATTTCCTAAAAACCTTTCTTCATGGGAAACATTCCCTGAATCCGGAAACTGCCTTGTTGAAAACCTTTTTGAAACTGTCTCTAATTTCTTGACGTGCTTGCCCAGGTGTGGTTCCAAAATTGGTTGCTGCATTCTTTTAGGGGCCTGACTTTACACAGTGTCAGTGTCTTAAAAACGTTTCCCTTTTTAAAAGGTATGGGAAAACTTTTAATTCTCAGGTTTGCCAGGCCCCCCATTGGGGCAGCAGTTATCTGATTTTTGTGTGTTTCCCGGAAAGACATGCTCGGTTTTTTGGGTTCCCCCCAAGATCTTTCCCCTTGAGTGAGGATTGCGTTTTTGGGCCCACCTAGCCTTTTACTCTGTTTTGCGGTCTTTTTTCCCCTTTCCTCAATTTTCAAGACTTTCCCTTTGCGGGGTTGAATTCAAAAAGGGCCATTTTGTTTGGACCAGGGGGCCCCGGGCCTGCCCAGGGTCTCTTTAAAGGGCCTCCCCTTTTCCTCTTTTGTTTTAAATTTTCCCCTTTAAAAAACCCCCTTCAAATCCATCTGGAACGGGGGACATTTTGGGAGTCTTTTCCCTTCCTCATGTCATTCACATTTACCAAGAAATTCCCAATGGTTTTACAATGCCCTTTGGGTGGGCCCCCGGCGTCTTTGGCCCCCCATTTTGTTTTCGGTGGTTTTTGGGGAAGTGTTTTGTGTGTGTGTGTGTGGGTTTGTGTGTGTGTGTGTGTGTGGGTTGTGTGTGTGTGTTGTGTGGGGTACTCACCAAAGAGTTGCGGGGGTCGAGTAATAGCCCTGGCTTCCGCCCCCTTCTTTAGTCGCTACTAGGTCCACTCTCCCCCAGCTTCGAGAGTTTATCGTACCTTTCTTAAAGCTAAAAAAGGATACTTTTCCCACTAAATCATGGATATTTCCTTCACTATACCACTACTTTTTGGTTTGGGAAATGTTTCGGGTTTGGGTAGGTATTTTTTGGAGTTGTTTGCTTTTTAAAGGGGTTTGTGGGGGGGGTTTGGGCCTGACCTTTTGGGTTCTCAGTTTGGCCACTACAGAAATAACAAAATTTTACCAGCGGGGATGTAAATGGTGGGTTTTGGGCCCCCAAATACCTGTTGGGGGGGTGTGGCCCCCCACTGCTCTGTTGGGGGGGTTTGTGGCCCCCCAAACTGCTTGTTGGGTGGGTTTTGGCCCCCACTGCTTCGGGTTGGGTGGGTCTGGCCCCCCAAATGCTCTGTTGGGTGGGGTGGCCACCCATGCTCTGTTGGGAGGGTGTGGCCACCCACTGCTCTGTTGGGTGGGTGTGGCCACCCACTGCTCTGTTGGGTGGGTGTGGCCACCCACTGCTCTTTTGGGTGGGTGTGGGGCCACCCACTGTTCTGGGGAAATTGATTACTTTTTGTGTGGCCAAACCCTGACCCCGGGTTTTGGTTTGGAAAAAATTTTGGGTTTTTTTTTTTTTGAAAAAAAAAATAAAAATAAGGAAATAAATTAAATTTTAAAATTTTTTTAATTTAAAATAATTTTAAATTTAAAATTTATTTTAAAAATAAAAATAAAAATATTTTTTATTTTTAATAATTATTTAAAATTTATTTTTTTAAATATTATTTTTAAATATTTTATATATATATTTATATATATAATATATATTATATTTTAAAATTTTTATATAATATATTATATATATATATATATATATATTTTTATAAAATAATAAAATAATTTGGTATGTCCCCCTGGGGGCGTATTTTAGCCCCTAGTGTCCCCCAAAGGCCTTCGTAATGGATATCCCTCTGTTATCCTGGGGGGGTTTATACCTCTGATTTAATGAGGGTTATTTTAATACCCATAAAATTTATACCTCTAAATATGTGGGTATTTCTCTGATAAACATGGGATATATCTTTAAATTATCACGAGGTATCCCTCTAAATTATCACGGGGTATCTCCTGTTTATATGTGAGGCACCCCTTTAATTTGTCCTGAGGGGGGGTTTTATAACTCTAAATTTCCGGGGAACCTAGGGGGATCCCTTTACCCATAAATCAGGGGGGTTTTCCCCTCAGCAGCTGTACCCCGGGGTCGACCCTCTGCTGTAGTGCTCCCTGGGGGCCCACTCTGAGTGCCAGGGGTATTGACACCCCTACCCCTGTACCCCTGTTTCACCAGCCCCCAGGCCCCAAAACCCCCCCCAAAACCTGTGCTGGACCTCCACACCTGTAATGAAAAACACTTTCTTTATTATTATTTTATTATTATTTTTATTAATTATTTTTAAATTTTTTTATTATTATTATTATTTTTTTTCTTATTTTATTTTTATTATTAGTTTTTTTTTTTATTTTTTTATTTTTATTGTAAAGTAAAAGGACACAAGTGCAACTAATGTGACATTTTTTGGTGGCCCCGTTTCGCTCCCCAAAGAGTTTTATCAACCCCATTAAAAAACAATACATGGAAAACAGAGGGTTTTAAAGGGGCTCAGAGTGAGGTGAATATAGTGGGGTTTCCATTTCGTTGTTCACTAGTGGTAGTAGAAGTAGTAGTAGTGTGGTGTGACAAAAGTAATACAATATGGTAGACAATTAATTCTTTCCATGATTTAAAAGGTAAAAAAATTTTTAATTGGGTAACATAAAAATGGTTGGGGAAAAATAAAAACTGGAATGAGGCGGGTTTGTTTCAGGTTCACTCTCTGGCTTTGTGTATTATAACAGGAGAGACATGTGTTTGGCAGGGTTTACTGTTTTCAGGAGGATTCTTGCAAAGGGGACTTGGGAGATGGTGAAAAAATGCCGTTGTTTTGTTTAATTGTATTCGAAAAAAGCGATCGTGCAAATTCAAGGCACTTGGTGTGCGGAAAAATTAGTTTCTTTTATCATAATTGGGGCGTCTCTAAATTTTCATAGATAAATTGGGGAAATTTTTCGGTTTGTAAAAGGGCGTTTTTTAAAGGGTTGTCGTTCCTACATGCGTATATGTTTTTCATTGGGCGGGGGGTCGGGTTTCTTGCTGTTTCACCTCCCGTAGATCTTGTCACACCCCTCCACGGGGGAATAGTGTAAAACTCCTGTTTGACTGGTTCGTGGTGTTTGGGGTTTTTCCTGGTTGGGATCCTTTTTTGAAGGGGGTAAAAGGGCGATGGCGATCTGGTGTTAGCTTGGAAAG